CTGAAAGGACAGAGCACAAAATGGAGTTTCTCTGGTCTCCTTGAGCTCATACACAACAATAATCATTTCCCAGAATCCTGGGTGATTCGCAATACGTTAAGATTAACATCTTTGTCCTAAGAATTTGTCTTTCAGCCACTGGCCCTGCCCTTCTTACCTATGTGGCTGACCCACCTATCTAGTTACCAGCCCACTTTTATCCGTGTGCTTGTGACTGACCCATCTGTCAATGCAGTTGTCAAATGAGAAACAGACCATCACCCCATCATCATGGCAAACTGCCCTGCCAAAAGAAGTTTTAAAAGCCTTCAACCACAAAGCACTTCCCACCCTCTCCAATCTTGGAGAGGTGGATCCACCCTCTCCCTCTCCGATCTACTTTCTGAATAAACTTTGTTTTCTAATCTAACTTTTGTGCAATTCTTTGCACACTCGCGGCACTGGTTTAGCTCATCAGCACACTGACCTAACATTAATGAAGTCGAAAATGGAGTGATTGGGACAGAGAGTGACATCATTAGATGGGGTGGTATTCTGGGACAAGTGCATAAGGAGGTGGCATTTCTGCAGAGATCTGAAAGACAAGAAGGAGCCAGCCACATTGGGGAGGGGTAATATTCCGGGTAGTAGGCAGTGCAAAGTCCTTCAGGTGGAACAAGGCTGGCACGTCTGAAGGGACAGATGGAGGACCAGTGTGTCTGTGCTCTGTGGGGAAGTGGGGAGTGGAAGGAAGTGAGATAGAGAAGTGGCCGGCCAGGTGGTCCAGGGCATTCATGAGAATGCAGTGCTGGAGGAACCCGGGTGGTGATGTACTTCCCTGAAAGGACACATTTAAATGTCTAAGACAGATGTGTGGCTATTCTTCAGAGCACTTAAAATAGCACTTAAAGCCAAACACTGGAAACCAGCACCATGTTTATAATAGGACAATGGCGAAATACTCATGATCTAGTTATAGTATGAAATATTAAAATGAAACTCGTAGAGACTGTGAGATAGCATGGGAATATCATCATGATGGAATATTTAGAAAAATAACCAGGATGCAAAGATATTTCATAGCTTGTGGGGGCGGGGTTGCATGCATGTGTACAGGGATGTGTGTATCCACTAGAACACAAACTCACAGTGCCTAGCATATACCAAGAATTCAAAACAAATTTCATTAAATGAGTGAATGGGTAAATGAATATATACACATATATATACTAATGTATGGACACATATGTCCATACATTCACATGTCTGCATACAAATGAGCAAAGAAGGCAAATCAAGATATGACCTGTGGTTATTTATGAATTGTAATATTCTACATAATTCTTTGTAGCAAGCTTCATTTTTTGAATTTTCGTTAATAATTCTG